TTGGCTCACCTTTGGCTGCCTCTCCCAGGCCACTGTCAAGGAGCTGGATTGAAGGAAGAGCAGCCAAGACTCAAACCAGCCCCTGTGTGGGATGCTGCCATCACAGGCAGCAATTTATCCACTACTGCCACAATGCCAGCCTCAAAAGTGACTTTTGTAGGATCTTAAGGATGTTATTCTGAGATCTAAGTGACAACAGGTCACAAAAACAGAGGCTGGAGGTCCTCCTCCAGGTTTGCCAGTTGACAACTTGGGGAGACGCCTTGAATAGGTTGGGGACAACCAGAGAGAGGAGGATAGGAAACCGTTTAACAGAGAGCAGTGGACTGCAGCGTGATGGTGTCACAAACCAGCTGTGGGGAGAAGAACGGCCTGGGCATAGTGGCAGCTGTTGAGCAGGCGGTGGGCCCTAAACCTATGGGGTTCAGGGCAACTGCTCTGATTACAGTGTGCTCGTGTGAGAGGTGAGGGGGTCAAGCGCAGGATGGCCACAGCAGCGGTGATGATGTTGGAAACCAACGAAAGCTAATAGAGACTTGCTGGATTTGCTGGCACTCAGTGTCCCAAGTCTAGGAGAGGAGAGCTAGGTAAGTAGCCATGTCGATCTGGAGGAGAAGATGCTTACATTGCTTATAGTCTTGTTGGATTTAGCCTGGATTAGAAAATTAGATCTGAGGACACCACAAGAATCCATGGCTGCCACTGCTGAGCCCCCGGGGTCAGCTTTGAGGGATCCAGGAGGGGAGCCGAAGTCCTGGCCGAGGAAGATGTTCCACTGTTCAAGAGGGAGGGGAGGGATTGTATAAAAGAGATCCACACAGCCAAGTGGATTGTGGAGTCGGGGTGTTAAGAGATTGTGGGTCTGGTGCTGTAGTCTAGCGGCTAAAGTCCTCACCTTACAAGTGCGGGGATCCCATATGAGCCCCAGTTCTAATCCCCGCAGTCCCGCTTCCCATCCAGCTCGCTGCTTGTGGCCTAGGAAAGCAGTCGAGGACAGCCCAGAGCCTTGGGACCCTGCACCCATGTAGAAGACCTAGAAGAAGCTCTAGGCTCCTGGCTTCGGCTCAGCTCAGCTCCAGCCGTTGCAGCCACTTGGGGAGGGAATCAGCAGATCTTTCTGTCTCTGCCTCTCCTCCTCTCTGTATATCTGACTTTGCAATAAAAATAAATAAATCTTTTTTAAAAAAGAGATTTTGTGCATATAGAAAGATAACTGATTAATAAATACAAAAAGTTGTCCAAATCTTGCAGTAATCCAAGAAGTGAGAAGTAGTGTCTCTTGGTCAATTGGAGCAAGCAAGGACCAAGTTTGGTAATGTCATGTATTGGTGAGACTCTTGAGAAAGGGATAGTGTTATGTAGTGTTGGTGGGAGCACAGATAGGTACTACATTTGGTCTGCCATCTAGCAGTACCTAAAATGCATGCTTTCACGGACTGTCTTATTAGAGAAATCCTGGTATAAGTGCAAACAGAGGTGTGAATCAAAGTTGCCTATGGTGTTAATTCTGTTGGGAAAAGTGGAAGGAACCAGTTTTCATCAGTAGGAGGGATGCTGAACCAACTGTGACATGGTATGGAATTCTCTAATGATGGCTTAAGAGAGTAATATAAGCATGGAAGAAGTGGAGGCACCGTGTTGCATGGCAGGAAAGAACCAGTTTCAGGAATAGTAGTGCAGTCTGGTTCTGTGGATGTGAAGTGTATATATCTCACACAGTCCACAGAACCAAATATAGCAGCAAGCTCACAGTGGAAGTTAACTCTTCAGAAGAAACCAGAGTAATAGTAGTTGGTAAGTTTGCTACATTTAGACAAATTATAAAACTGCAGTGTCCAATTAATTGAATTTTTCACATAAGTTTTAAAAATGTAATGTCAGTCTGTTCTATGCGATATTTTGAACATGCTTACACTAAAGTATTATTTGTTGTTTGTCTGAAAGTAAATTTTAGTGGAGCGGCTGTTGTTATTAAACTGCTGGTTACAATTCTAGCATCCCACCTGGGCACCAGTTCGTGTCCTGCTCCCTGCTAATGTGTGTGGGAAAGTGGAGGTCGACGAGGTGAAGCTCCTGGCTGTGGCTTGGCCTCGCACTGGCTGTTGCAGCCATCTGGGGAATAAACCATCACATGAGAGGTCACGCTTCTCTCTCTTCCTCTGTCTCTCTTTCAAAATAAATAATTTTGTTTTAAAAAATTGTGTTTTTCAAGGTTTCTGGGTACTAACATCAACTTATGGCTGGTAAAAGAGGTTTGTATGTATGTGTCTGTACCGTGTGTTATTTTTAATTGAAGATTTCAGAATTCAAGAAAGTGAATCTTACCTATAATTCTGCCACTTGAAACACTTCACACAAAAAAGCAGAAATCTCTTCCTTTAGTTTCTCTGTGTCACACTCACCAGCAGACGGTGTAGCTGTGTCCCTTCCAGGCAGTTTTCTATGTGTCTAGGCTAGGATTATCAGATGTAACAAATAAAATAAGAACATCTACTTACATTTCATTTCAGAGAAATACCAAGTCATTTTTTGCATAAATATGTCCCACATATTACATAGAACCCACTAAAGCTAACAAATTTGTTTACTGTTTATCTGAAATTTAAGTTTTTTGAATACTGTTTATTGGAAAGGCAAAGAGATCTTCCATCCATTGGTTCACTCCACAAATTCCTGCAATTTTTTTTCTGTGCCAGGCTGAAGCCGGGAGTCTGGCACTTCGTCTGGGTTCCCTATGTGGATACAGGATCCCAAGCAATTGAGCCGTCTTCCATTGCTTTACCAAGTGCATTAGCAAGGTCTTGGATCAAAAGTGGAGCAGCCAGGGCTCAGACCAGCCTTCATATGGGATGCCAACATCATCACAGGTAGTGGCGAGTTGATGCCAGGCCAGGACAAGACCCGGCTTCCTTCCAGGGAGTGGACTTGGAAGTGAGGCTCCCAGCTCCTCAGCCTCCCTTCCTCCACTGCCAGATCCATAAGACCCTTTTAGCACCTGCCGCAAGAACTGGCACGTGGCACAAAGCTGGGCTGAGTGTCAGTGAGTGGTTTTGCTCGGTGAATTAAGTGATCTATGTAAAGTACCCCAAGAAAACCCATGTGCCTAGGATGCTGCTTTATTTATCTCACCCCACCCCACTGACAATTGCTTTTGTAATATCAAGAGGATCTAATCTGGGGAGAAAGATGTCACAGTTACAGTAGAGGATAAATTCTGTACCAGGACTGTGTTCGGAACTCTAGGATTATAGAAGTGGAGAACCAGGGTTAGCCTGTGAATGTGAAGAGAATGGTCTGGGATTTGGCCAAGACTTCTTTTCCTCTGGAGGGCAACCCAGAAGGAGCCAAACAGATGCGATGTATGTGTTAGGGTGCTGGAGGAGCTTCCCAGGGAAGGCGAACAGCACTGCGAAAGGGTAGAGCTGAGGTAGCACCTGTCCCCACCAGGGAGAGGGAACTGGAACCAGAGGTAGACAGACCTTGAGCATTCATATGCTTAGTGTGATAAGCTAAGGATTGCCAGGAGCAGAAGAGGACTTTGGTGCAAATCAGACTTATATTTATAAAGGTGTGTTTTATAAAGGTGTGTTGGCACCGTAAAGAAAAGGTTAACGACGTGTAATGCTCGAAGTAAGAATCACCTATGTTGGAATCACTGTCATGGTGCTCCAGGAAAGTTACCGGTGATGACAGGGCCAAAAAAAAGGCTTATTTCCCTAGTAACTGGGAGACTAGTTACTGCAGTGTGGATCATGAATATGCCTTGTGTTTAGATTGGGCAGAGAGGACTCTAACAAACCTGTTAGATTTCTGAGTCATCGTTTGGGTGACTGGTAATAAGAAATATAGGCTGAAGTGCAGGGTTTGATGGGGCTGAAGAAGTGTTGTCATTTGGGAACAGATTGAGATGACCGTGGGATAGTTTGGAAAACACTGCAAGAGTCCTTGAAACCTGGTGCACATGGAACTTGAGAGAGCAGGCCAAGTGTCATGAGTGAAGAAGCATCAGAATGTGAGCAGCTGTGGCAGCCTTGGCAAGTGAGAGAAGAAGAGGCGGGGCAGGATTGAGAATGCCATAGGCCTTGGGAAGCATCTGTGTAGAAGCAGGGAGACAGAGAAGCCAGAGAGACAGCCAGTGTTTGTGGAAGGCATTGAGGACAGCAGAATAGTGGTTTACCCAGAACAGATGCCCTGCAAACCAGGAGTGAGTAAACAGGAGGACCAAGCACCCCACCTCAGATGGGCCAAGAAAACATTGGAAGGCTGGAGGGGGCCCTTTTTTAAAAAGCCAGTTGGGCCTAGTGCGATAACCTTGCCCTGCATGCGCCAGGATCCCAGGCATGTGCCAGTTCGTATCCCAGTTGCTCCACTTACCGTCAGGCTCCCTGCTTGTGGCCTGGGAAAGCAGTAGAGGACAGCCCAAAGCCTTGGGACCCTGCACCCATGTGGAAGACCCAGAAGAAGCTCCTGACTCTTGGCTTCAAATCAGCTGAGCTCTGGCCATTGCAGCCACTTGGAGAGGGAACCAGCAGATGGAAGATCTTTCTGTCTCTCCTCTCTGTATATCTGACTTTCCAATAAAAATAATAAATAATAAATTTTTAAGCTGTAAGTTTCAGAATCCATAACACCCTTAAGCCCAGCTAAGAGCTTCCAGCTGTAGGGATACCTGTCTTCCCTGGTCAGTGCCAATTACAGTGTTACCCTGTGAAATTATTCTTTAAAAAAAATTTTTTTGTTTTCCATTTTATGATTTTTGGGGTATAGAGATTACACTTCCACTTAATCCGTCTGTTCTCCCACCCACTCTGTTTTCCCCCCATATTATTACAATACTATAATCCTTTGGCGACAGTCACAAAACTAGCATTCTGCTGTTTAAGTTAGTCATGGCATTATAGGTAAGGCAGTAGTAGAAAATCCAGTTCACATTGTCAAGGTGTGTTTGACAGTTTTGGGAGTTCTTCTTTTAATTGAGAGTAGAGATGTGTACTGCAATGTATCTTCACTTCCCGGTATGCTAGTCTCCATTCCGTAACTCATCTATGAGAATATATGTATATATATGTTTACCCATATTATTTGGTTTGCATGTTGTGTGAAGGTTGCCTCTATCAGAGAGAACATAGTGTATTCATTCTTTGGGGATTGGGTTAATTCATTGAGCCTAATGGTTTCCAGTTGGGACCATTTCGTTGCACATTCGTTGTTTTTAATGACTGAATAGTATTCCATGGAGTAGACGTACCAGAGTTCATTCCTCTTTCAACAGGCACCTGGGTTGTTTCTATATGTTTGCTATCGTGCGTTGTGCTGCTGTAACTATAGGTTTACAGGTCACTTTCTCATATGCAGATTTCACTTTCTTTGGTTATATTCCCAGCAGTGGGATAGCTGGGTTGTAGAGTAGATCAATTTTCAATTGTCTCATCTCTGTCGGTACTGACGTTCATAGCCTGCACTCCCACCAACACTGGGGTAGAGTACCTTTTTCTGCCCACATCCACACTGGCAGGTGTTATCAGGACAGTTTTATATGTAGGCCAGTCTCACTAGAGTTAGGTGGAAACTCAGTGTGGTTTTTATTTATATTTCCCAACTAGCTAGGGAGCCTGAGCATTTTTTCATGTGTCATTAAGCTATTTAAATTGGTTCTTTTGAAAGCTGTCTGCTCACTTCCTTCCCCCGTTTCTTCACAGGGTTGTTTGTTTCGGTGTCACTGAGATTCTGAAGCTCTTTGTAAATCCTGGCTGTTAGTGCTGTATCTGCTGTGTAGTGTGCAAAGCTTTTCTCCCATCCTAATCCTGTTGCTTGCTTCTTTGCTTTGTTGATTGTTTCCTTTGCTGTGCAGAAGCTTCTTAGTTTGTAGTTCCGTTTGTTTATTTTGGCTTTGACCAGCCTGTGCTTTTGGTGACTTTGCTGAGAAGTCTTCACCCATACCTGTATCTTGCAGAATGTCTCCTATGTTTTCCTCTGATCGTTGAATGGTTTCTAGTTGTCTGGTTGAATAGCTCTTCAGCCCTGTTGTGCCAAGCAGTCTCCTTTCCACCTGGCCTCTGCGCTCCCCCCAGCTGGAGGTGACCACCCAAAGCTGCTTCCTCCTCTAGACCAGGATCTTGGGAGTGAAGAGCATATGGTGGCCCTCCCCCAGCAACACATCCTGACAGTCAGCTTCAACTTCCAGTGTGCGCCACAGCATGAACTAAGGAATGCTGTGTGCTTCTCTGGAGTCTCCGAAGCAGCTGTGCTTGCAGCTCCAGCCGGAACAGACACTGCTCCCAGATGTGTTTATGGGGAGGAGCCTTGAGGACTGTCCTGGTATTGCTTTCAGCTTCTCCCCTCTACAAGGGCTTTGCTTTTCTGTCTTGAGGAAGAGGTACATTGTGGTAAGCAGTGTTTTATGACCCATCATAAAAACCCTTGTAAAGACTGTTTCTTGACCAAATGAAGCGAAGTGTTCTTTTCAGAGTCCTCAGCTGCTCCTCTCCCCCTCGCTGCATTGGAATGCACGCGGCTCAGCATTAATGGGTAACACAAGGAAATCGTGTCACACATGCTTCTGCATGTTTGCGAGGCTGGGAAAGCAACCAAAGGAAATGATAGAAGAAAATTCATGCTTGTTTTGTTTTGCCTTATTCAAAAGTAGCTTCTGAATAGATTGGGCAAAGTAACGTTTTATATTTGTGTTCTTAGCAACTGCAGTTATTGTCTTGTAAGGGCACCTGAAGGACAGTTTGAGAGAATCTCAGTGGCCACAGGGCCTCATGGAAAAACCTAGCTGGGGATAGGTAAAAAGCAATGTAGAAAACCTTAGAACGTCAGTTACTTAAAAGAGACGTGTCATGCACAGAGTGCATAATGACAAGATCTTGAAGGACTCTTCCAGATCTAAAATGTTGGTCACCCTTAGACCTTCAGAATTACCAAGTCAGTATAGCACTTGGTTTACTTGCATTTTAGCAGTGTATCTATTAACATGAGTACAGTTACACTGGCCTTAATGAGCATTTAAGAAAGGTACTGGAATAACCAGGGAGACTTGTGATATTACTGATAGTAGATGGCAGAGTTACTTTTTTGTTTTTGTTTAAGGACTTACTCTTATTTGAAGGCTGCAGAAAAAAAAGTTCTTTGATCCACAAATAGTCGCAATAGCCAGAGCTGAGCCAATCCTAAGCCAGGAGTTAGGATCCCCCATGAAGTCTCCCACACGGGTACAGGGGCCATCTTTTCTGCTTTCCCAGGCCATAAGCAGGGCGCTGGATAGGAAGTAGAGGAGCCGGGATGCGAACCGACGGCCATATGGGATGCCAGTACTGCAGATGGAGGCTTATGCCGTGGACAAGACCCCAGAGCCACTTCTTAATCTGATCTGATTACCCAAACCAGGAGGTTTCACACACTCTTTTTGACTCTTAACAGCCACCTTACAAGATTACAGATGAGGACATTGAGGCTAGGTGTTAGAGGACAAAGGTTGACTCACAGGCCCAAGCTTACCCACTGTCTGACCAGGGATTTGAGCAGAGCCCTCCAAAGATGGTTCAGGAGGGTGATCTGAAGACACAGACGGGACGTTGCTGGTCTCCAGATGCCTACACACTTGCCATTGTCTGCCTTCCTCAAAGCCTGTGCAAGTTTTGTCTCCCATGGCAGGTGCTTCCTCACACCAGTCCTACATGAGGCATGAGGCAGCAGCAAGCTAGGCAAGGGAACTGGCTGGGCTCTGTGAAGCAGTGAAGGGCAGAGGAGTGAGCTGATACAAGATCTGGTTTGCACATGAAAAAGGTCAGACTCCCAGAGGCTAAAAGAAGAATTTGAGAACTACAGAGCAGTAGGCAAACATTTGGTGGGCTGCACTGGAGGAAGAATAAAATCCATGCCCTGAAAAGGAAACACAGAATGTTGTAAAAGTCCCCATTTCCCCCGGGTTAATCTATTCAGGATTTTTGGATCAATAACAGCAAAGGGAGCTTTGAGGGCATGGGAACTCAGCGAAGTGATCCTAAAAATCACTCCAGACTCATAGACTCATGTCATGGAAGAATACCCAGGAATATTTTATGAGGAACTGAAAGAAGAAACTTTACCTGTCTAATGTTTAAATGTATTCTAAATATTTAATAATTAAAGGAGAGAGATGCTCTACCTGCACCAAGCCAAGCAGCGATAAAAGCAAAAGCCCAGGACCCAGTTCAGTTAATTTAGCTAAAATCTAGTTCAAAGTAGCACTTAAAATGGGTGGGCAATGTAATAACTGCTAAAAGTCTTTAGCACACTACCATTGAAAATTGAAAGTTTGGTGTTCAGTGTATTTCTTGATATGGAAAAGGTACTTAGAAAATTGTATTACTGCACCTGGCACAGTAGCCTAGCACCTAAAGTCCCCATTTTGCATATGCTTGGATCACATAAAGGGTACCAGTTCTGATTTCGGCAGCCCCGCTTCCCATCCAGCTCCCTGCCTGTGGCCTGGGAAGCAGCCAAGGATGGCCCAAAGCTTTGGGACCCTGTACTGACCTGGGAGACCTGGAGGAGGCTCCGGGGTTTGGGCTTCAGATCGGCACAGCTCCAGCTGTGGCAGCCGCTTAGTGAATCAGCAAACGGATGGAAGATCTTCCTCTCTGTCTCTCTCCCTCTCTGTATATCTGATTTTCCGATAAAAATAAATCTATAAAAAAAAGTTGCATTACTGATATTCCATTTATAAAAGAGAAAAGCTGTATATGTTACATAAATGGTGCATATTGAAATTGGGTTAAAGGCTAGCACCTCCCAGTGACCTTAGAGATACAGAAATTATGCAGGAAAAAGAGTGAGAGGGCAGAGAAGAGGTGGGCATTTGGCAGCAAGTAGTAGCAGGGAAGGGAATATGAACATTCCCGGCAGGGGTGCAGTGTCAAAGGAAGCAGGTGTGATGATGGGCAGCCGGAATAAAGTGGAAGCAAGTCGCACTTGGCTGGGGGAGCGGGTGTCCTACTGCCTCTGCCTTCCCCGACTCTCCAGTAGGCCTGCCTCTCACATTCATCTCAGGATCCGCTTCTGGCAAGTAGAAATTGGATTGGCTTGAGCCAGTCTTTACAGCGGGCAACCACCAGAGTTGGCTACAGCAGGCAAATAATAATAATATTTCACCCTAGAAAAAAAGAAAAAAATAGATTCTCTGTACATTACCCTCTTTGGATGGGAGGGAAATCAAAAGGGATAATTCTCAAAAGAAGGCATTGAGAGGAAGAATTGGTAAAAATGGCAAAGGTGTTTTGCCTAAGCATATCATTATAATTTCACTACAGAGAATGGGGAGATGGCCACACTGTGGTATTTAGTGGGGTTTTTTTTTAAGGTTTATTGATTTTTATTGGAAGGGCGTTGTTGAAAGCATCTCCAAGCAGTGTGGCTAGGACATTAACTATTTGGGTCATGTGCCAACAACCTAGGCACTTCTCCATCCTCTTGTTATGACGCAGTGCTGATCCTTGTATCCTGTGCTGACAGCTAGGGTTGCCTGCTAGAAGCTTCCATTCCTAATGACTTAGGGCAGTGAAGACGAGGCAGTGATTCCTTCCTCTTGCTTGCCTGCTTTAGTCACTACCTTATCTCTCAGACACGTTCTCAGACTTGCTGGAAATAAGTCATTTTTTGTTTTTGTCTTTTAGTTTCTAGTTAGCGGCTATGGATTCTTCACTTTCTCAGCATTATCACTGCTTCCAAAAAGTGGTTAATCTTTCCATTCTTGTATGAGAACACAAAATTTGATTAGTAAAATTTACACCAAAAGTCACTCTTACCAGGCTTCTTCTTGTTACCTTTGAATCACTCAAAATCCAGTGGTGCCCAGCTCAGCTCTGTCCCAGCCGCAGCTGTTATAGGGAGCTGGGAGGGAACCTGCAAATGGGAGCTCACTCCCTTCGCAACAAGAGAGGGAAGAGAAAGCTGGGTGAAACGCTTATTAGTTGATTTGTTTGCTTTGGTGGTAAAGGAGCCAGAAGCCCAGAGCTCAGCGATAACACCAAGAATCCACTACTGAAGTAGTACGCAGACAGCTCCCATGCTTTCCATAGGAGCTGACTGAGCCCTGCGCCCCACAAAGAGAGCCTCAGAGTCAGACTTGGTGCCATGTGGGTGTGTCCTGTGAGACACGCTTCCAGGCCACAGAGGCCCAAGTGACTGCTGCCTCATTGTGTGCTGCGCTATTCGGACCACACTTTGTAATGTAAAAAGGGACACTGTTAAAACTGTGTTTAACTTAAAGAGCCTTGCCTGGCCGTAGCTGACATCTCCCGGCCATCCCATCACTAGGGTTACTGTGAACTATGTGAGTCTGTGTGGGACAGATTTAGATCAGCATCTCAAGGAGCTAATTTAGAGTGTGTCTCTCACAATCCTGTAAATCGAACTAGGACAGACAATAAGCTGAAGTTCAGAGTCCTTTGAAATTCCCTTGATTAAAGCACTTCACGGGACTCTAAAGGAAAGTCTGTTTTTCTGAACCTTGTGTAATGCTGATTCGCTTGTTCTCTGTAATTGGGAGAGGGTTTCTGACATAGCTGAATTCATTTTACCTTTGAAACGAGGCGTCCCCCTGAACGGTGGTTAAAGACTGGGGGGTGTTCCCCAGGCCATGCCCATCATGGGACCACGGTGCTCATCATCCTAACTAGCATTTGAATTAAAGCAGTAAGACTTTTTAGACAAGATTTTTCCCCCCCTCTAAAAATCTAGTTATAAAGCAGAGTGACAGAGTAATAGAAGAAAAAGAGATTTTTCACATGCTGACTCCCCAAGTGGTCACAATGGCCAAGATTAGACTGGGCCAAAGCCAAAAGCCTGGTGCTCCATCCAGATCTCCCACGTGGGTACAGGAGCCCGTTTGGCACTTGGGTCATCTTGTGGTGCTTTCCCAGGTACAATAGCAGAAGGCTTTATGGGAAGTCAGGCAGCTGGGCCTGGAACCAGTGCTCTTATAGGGAATGCCAGCATTGCAAGTCACAGATTCATCTGTTGTGTCACAGTGTCAGTGCCTTTGGCAAGATTTTTTTCTCTCTTCTCGTGTGTGTGTGTGTGTGTGTGTGTGTGTGTGTGTGTGTGTGTGTGTGTGTGTTCTTCAACAGGCAGAGAGACAAACAGCTCCTATCTATTGGTTCACTCCCTGCACTATCCACAGTGACCATGCTGGGCCAGGTCACAGTCTTCTACGGGCCCCATGCAGGTCTTCTGCATGAGTAGGCAGGAACCCAGTTACCTGAGCCAGTAGTGCTAGCCAGCAGGGCCTGCATTAGCAGGAAACTACAGTCAGCAGCCAGGACCGAGGATGGAACCCCATCCAGTATGGAGTGCAGATATCTTAGCCACTAAATAACCCCCTTAAAATTTTGTTTTTCTGGTCGTTAATTTGGACCTAATCGGTTCAGAACTCTGCTGTATCTAGATATTGTAGGCTTAAAAGGAAACTCAGCTTTCTCACAACAATCCAAAGAGTGGTAATACCTGCACAGCACCACCTTAGTCCTCCAGGTACCAATGACATGGGGTGCGTGTTAGTGCAGACATGTGGGTTGGTGCTGCCTCCCCTGAGGTCTGAAACAATGTTTGCGGTTGATTCTGACCTATCTTAGCCTCTCCCAAGGAGAAATAGACCTGTACTGGAAGGACCAAAATGCTGTAAATGGTGATGGTGGCATATCCCAGGGAAGGAATCTACAACTGTTTCCAGTCGTGTAGAAAACATGCCATGGGAGAGGAATTTGATTCACAGTGGATTTGAAAGAGACTCAAAACAAGAGAATAGAATAATAGCCATTTTACTTGAATGACTATTTTACATATAAATATGATAATACATGTAATTTTTTTAAAAGAGTAGAAGAAATTTCTTAACAGTGAAATTTTTGAGCAATGGGATTTTGAGTGATTTTTCTTACTCTGGATTTCAAAAAACTTACAAATTTCTGTTATTAAACATGCAGGCACATTTTGTCAATTTTGTAATTAAGAATGCAGTACGTGCTTGTATAAATACACAAAAATAGCATACTTTTTTTTTTATCATAGCTCAGCCTTCTTATTCATTTTGATGCACCTTTTGATTAACTCATTCTTTCAAATTTTTGAGGTTTTGTACTTGGTGGCTTTTGTTCTCTGGACAATGCCATATGAGCAAGGCAGACTTATTCCGTGCTGGTTCAAGTGGGTTATGCCTTGTGTGTAGGTAGGCAGTTAAAGATGAGGAACCAGCATGACATTAGTTTAGGTTAGTCATGCTGTTAGAAACCCAGGCCTACTAGTTGCACGCATGCGTTTCCCACACAGCATATTTGCCCCAACAGAAGAGCGTTTTCTATAGCATTCTATGCTTCATGTTGACTCGTTTTTTTCACTGCAAGTTGTTCCACCCACAGTGGGTCTCCAGTCCTGCATGGCTGTGTACCTCCCCAGAGCAGTGTCCTCCAGGACTTGCACCTTCAGAAGCGTAGAAGCCAACCCCTGCTGCTCAGGGAGGCCTGCACCAGGATCTTCAAAGCAGCACATTTGTGTGGGTGCGGGCTTCCTCCCTGCACGTCCTTTGCAATGACCTTATCCATACTTGTTTGTGAATCTCTCTCCCCGGGAAACAGTGTTTGTCTCACAGGTAGTCATCCTAAGAATTACCAGCTGTTGAACATGTGTCAGGAATTGCCTATCCATTTGGCATATATTACTTCAATTTAAATTTGTTTTCCCCTGCCCCAACAACATTTTGTTTTTTGGGAAGAAGGAAACATCACTTTTACCATTCTCCAGGTAGAAAAACTAAGGCTTGGATTTCAAAGGCAGAGGGTGTGTGAAGCCAGAGCTCCCAGCCCTGAAGGAGGAGCCCAGGCCAAAACCCACACACATTTTCCCTGGAGGGGTGGAGGGTCACGCCTCAGAGCTCCCTGATTCTGCCTGTTTGTTTTTCTAACCTTCGTGGGAACAAAGCAGTCCCATCCTCCATCATGTACAACTTTCAAATCATGACCGACCCCAGATTGGAGAGGATCGTGGCCAGTGTCTTGAGTTCCTGCTTTCGCACACTGGTTTTGGGTTGTAGCTCTTGTATCTACTTGCATGGCGCCTCAAGTGTCAGGTCTGAAGGCTTTGCGCTTTCCGTCCCGTTGAGTGGTAGTGGGCATGTCTGCCCTGGGCTGTGGCCTGCTGCCGCATGCAGCTCCTTACACAAGGAATCTGATGAAGCAGGGTTTGTTATTTTCCCCTTTTACATAATCTCTTGTTCAACAAAAGGATCTAATAAAGGATTGTGTTGGACAGTTTTTCCAGGCTTTAGTGTAAATCAAACTTTTTTTTTTTTTGGTGCTATGGCTTTGGGCTAACTACCTGGTCTGCTTCTGTGAATCAGTTTCTTGACCTATAAAATAGCAGTGATGATGTTATTTACCTGACTGCTTCAGTGTGGTTTCAATAAGTTACTGTACAGCAGGTGCTTAGAAGAGTGCTTGACTGGGCCCGGCGCGGTGGCGCAAGTGGTTAAAGGTCCTCGCCTTGCACGCCCGGGATCCCATATGGGCGCCGGTTCTAGTCCCGGCAGCCCCGCTTCCCTTCCAGCTCCCTGCCTGTGGCCTGGGAGGGCAGTTGAGGACAGCCCAAAGCTTTGGGAACCTGCACCCACATGGGAGACCCGGAAGAGGCTCCTGGCTTCGGACCGGCATAGTATCGGCCCGTTGTGCTCACTTGGGGAGTGAATCAGCGGATGGAAGATCTTCCTCTCTGTCTCTCCTCTCTGTATATCTGCCTTTCCAATAAAAAAATAATAAAAATAAATCTTTAAAAAAAAAAAAAAAAAAGAGTGCTTGACACATAGTGACCACTTAGTGTTGGGACACTCTAGTTTCCTATACCATCCAGAACCTTTTTAAATTGTCCGTTCACCAATAAAATGTAGATCGAGGGTGAACCATTTTGTAGTGTTCTTGAGATTAGATGAGTACAGAGGTAGGGAAGGAGACAGACTGATTCACTCTGCCAGTATTTACCAGATGCCAACTGTGTCGTGCGTTGTTTCCAACATGAGCCTCTGTTCATTTTGCCCTTTGGTTTTTGTCTAGGATATGATGTTTCAGCTGCTCCGAGGTCTGGACTTTCTTCACTCTCACCGAGTAGTGCATCGCGATCTCAAACCGCAGAACATTCTGGTGACCAGCAATGGACAAATCAAACTGGCCGACTTTGGCCTGGCCCGCATCTACAGTTTTCAGATGGCTCTTACCTCGGTGGTGAGTGAACACAGCATCTTTCCATTAAACTCCATTTCTCTCTTTGAGCAACACTCCTAAGGCCCCCGTGGCACCCCTCCTAAGGTCCCCGTGATTGATTGGGAGAATGTCTGTGTCCTTTTCTCATGTAGCAGATGGGGATGCATTCTCGCTGGACTTGTGGACAGGCCGCATTGCAAAAGTAGCTGTTGCATCTCAGCTATCAGACAGCAGTCAGTTGCAAGTTACCAAGTGCTTTGGGCCATGACCAGCGGGTTCAGAGTTCTGTCTGTAATACCTGAGGAACACACGGCCAAGCTTAGGGCAGAGGGAATGCTGGGAACATGAGCCTGCGTTGAGAAGTGTGTGACAGGCTTCCTTGGAAGCTCCGGTGCCAACTGTTGAGGAGATTTCAATCTGCAGTGAACTCAGATGACCTGAAGACATAGCACCACCCTGCTAGGTAAAGCCTTCTTCCAGGAGAACAGAAACAGGGCCAAGGGCAAAGAATGATAGCTATGATATCCTGTTCTTTGTCTCATTCGGTATGCAAAACCCCAGTGGCCGCTGACCTTGGTCGGCTTCTCTTTCCCCTGGTAGTTCCGAGATGAGTTTTGCACAGAGCTGCACATAGACTTACAGAGGAGCAGCCCAGGAGTGTGTATGAATAACCCTCCTTTGCCAGAGACCTTTTCTGCAGGCAGTGGGTGATCCGTGCAGCCTTCCAACAGGCCATGGAGGGCCCCGGGCCCTGGGCTGGGTCCCTTACCTTAGGGAGGAGGTTGATGTAAAAAAAACCTTTGATGTGATAGTGGCTGCAGAAATACTGCCCTGGAAGATGTTAAATTAGACCTTAAAAGCAAAGACTCCATAGGGTCCAGCTTTGGCATCAAAACGACCCTCCAGCCAAAGGCAGCACTGTCCTGAGCTAGGGGTCTTGTTGAGAAAGATACGCTGGTCTCTGGGATTGTCCTGGTGGCTTAGGGGATGAAGTGGCTGCCCTTGGCACTTAGCATATAAAGTCACACACCGGAAACAATCATCTCCCCAAGTTTTAGGAATGCTCTTGTTGAAAAGTGGAGCTTCAGGGAGGAGAAGTGAGACCGAGAAGCTGCCTCGGGAACACATCAGACTTAGAGAAGTGTCCTGCTGTTCCACCCGACCCCGCAGTCAACATCTGAACACACCAGTTTAGGTGTGGAAGGCCGCTTACTTTCCTAATAGTATATACCTTTCCTAGGTGGAATCTCTTCAGACAAGTGCTGGGATCGTGTAGCCATGTTGAAAGATAAATGCTGCCTGTTTCTACTTTGCCCTGTAATCATCGGTCCTTTGGGGGCACCTGGGTGTTAGTTGGTGTTGAAAGGCAAGGTCTGCGCTCTAAGAGGGGTCAAGCCAGCGCTTGTATTCTTACGTAATCTCACCAGAAAGGGCCGAGTCTGTATGTTTCCCCGATGGGAAGGGTGAGGTAGGCTTTGGGCTTCCCTAGGAAATTGTTGCTTGTGTTGTTTGGGGGCCCTTGGGACAAGTTTGAATAGGCTCTGCAAGCCAGGCGGTCATCAGGGGAGCTGATGAAAGGAACTTGGTCTCCTTGGGTACATGAATGGAGGGAAAGATGAGCTGTAACCAAGCAGGACACGTCACTTAAATCTCCCCAGTGGGCACTAAGCACTGTGGAGAAAAACAGGAAGCCTCCTTAGTTTTTGTCTGCATGTGAAGATGGATGGTCCAACTCCACCAATTGTGTAACATTGGTGAATGTTCTTTTCTTGCTAGAAGTTGATGTGTTCAAATTGGAAAATTTTTGCAAAGACAGGTTATTTCAAAGAAAGAGGAAAGAGGGAAGGCATCCAGAAATCTGTGATTTTTCAATGTCTGGTTTGTACAGTGTGCTCTCTAGCTATGGGGTGACATAAGTAAAACACATCAGCAGCTGGGAACGGCACCAGCACAGATTCATACTTTACTTTGAAAGAGTGATAGTTGGAATTTAATGGCAGTAATAGAGAATGTATTTTGAATAGCGGACTGCATTTAAAAGGTTCTTTTTTTTTTTTTACTGTTTTACATTTTTCTACCTAAAAGGAAAAAAATAAAGGGATACGTTGGTTGACATACATATGGTGATATGAAAACATAGAACCTCAATTTTCTAGACTGAACTGGTGTGTATTTTTAGCATCTCGTAATGAGAAAAGGGTGCACTCCACTTCCTGGAAATACACATTTTTTTAGTAGGTTACATCATACAGGAACTGAGAGTCAGCTTAGTTTGTGGAATATTAAAGGAATTAGAACTTAACTGGTTGAAAACTGATACTGCACAGCCATAAGACATGACTCCCTCCCCCCCAAAAAAAAATCTCACCTACCTCTCCTGACTTACTAAGTCTCCTGCTACCTACTACAGAAATGAATCCTGGCCTCTTCCCTGCCCCTAGAGTAACATCCTGTTGAGACCATTCCTCAGACCACTTTCTGCCACGTTGATAACAGGTGTGTAAGGCTTTACTTCGCAGCACATGCTGTGTCTTCCTCAGGCCTAATGCACAATGATAGACACTTGGAACGTATTTTTGAGTGTGTGAGTTGACAAATACACAGTTCCGTTATAAGGAAATAAAATAAGGAAGGAGTTATTTTCCATACACAATGCTCTCACTTGGTGGTACGGACCCCTATCATATTAAACTGAAAAAGATTCAGGCGAACATAGACCTTACCACATCTGAGGCCCTGCTGCCCTTTGTCCTGATGGCTCGTTGGTAAGTAGCTGTGTTCACAGTCTTGAAAGTGCCCATGGTTGAGTGAAAGGCTGGTTTGAACCCAGGTTCACAGCTGTGCCCTTGTTAAAGGGCTAACCAATGAATTACACATGTAAAACAAACTTGCTGTGCAGACCAGAGAGCCATAGATTCCAGAATGTACCTCATTACTTAATGTGTAAAGTTCTTTTGCTTTTAGGTTTACTTATTCAGAAGGCAGAATGGCAGAAAAAAGAGAGATCTTCCTTGCGTTGTTTCTGTCCTCAGTGTCCGCAATAGCCCAGGCCAGAGCCTCCATCTGGAGTTTTCCACTGGGGTAGACTACAGGGGCTGGTCTGTATGAGCTGTCATCTCTGCCACCTGGGGTATCTGTAATAACAGGAGCTGGGTTAGAAGCAGAAGTGGAACTGGATCCCAGGCATTCTGCTATGGGTACAGCTGTCCCAAGTGCTAGTACAACCTGCTGCACTATGGGACCTGCCCTGAGGACATTGTTTTTAACTCATTATGTTTTAGTATTAAAGCCAATTTTAGACGGCGGATCATCATCTTCTAAGATAATCAGCACTCTGTAGATGAAAGAGTGTGAAAATGATTAGGCGCTTTTTATGTGTGTGCATCCATGTTGACATATGTATGTTTATATTATATTTTTGTGTTTGGACCACTGACAATGGCGTCTGTTCCTGGCTTCCTACTGAAGCATCTGCTTGTTTTCACATGTGAGCTATACTTCCACGAGAGTAGTTTGCAGTGCAGGTCATCACCTTCTAGATGATGGACTAACACTGCATGATTCCTATCTTTAAAAAAGAGAGAGAGAGATTTATATTTTTTATTGCAAAATCAGATCTACAGAGAGGAGAGACAAAAAGAAAGGTCTTCCATCCACTGATTCAGTCTTAAGTGGCTGAAACGGCAAGAGCTGAGCCCATCTAAATCCAGGAGCTAGGAGCTTCTTTTGGATCTCCCATACGGGTGCAGCATCTCAAAGTGTTAGACCATCCTCGACTGCTTTACCAGGCCACAAGCAGGGAGCTCTAAGGGAAATGGAGCAGCCGGGATACAAACCTGCACCAGTATGGGATCCCGGCTGATACGAGAGGCTTTAGCCACTAGGCTGTCGCACCAGGTCCTGCGTGATTTCTGACCCCAGGTGCACCATACATTATTCAGAGAAAGGCATCCTTTCTGGATCCATTGAGAAACTGACTATTGTAAACAAGTGAGCTTCCTTGGATGTCTTAGGGTAGAACCCCTGATATCTTAATCTTTATTATTTTACATTTTGTTGCTGCAAAAGGTCCTGTTACCCCTCTCAAAAAAGGGATGCACCTGGTTTATTGGCCTCTTGGGGTAGAACTTAGTTTAAAACAATCCTTTTAAGTTATTCTTGTAGATGGTACATATCACAGAGGGCCAAATGATTAGCTGGTCTCCATCTAATAAACTGGGAGGTGATCTCTAAAGGGTTTAGTGCCTTTCAGGTGCCTGACTTCACTGGGCTCTGACTATCAGGTGTCTTTATGGGATTTGGCTTGTTGCTTCTTAGTATACAATCCCACATGTCCTTGCACCCATTTAGACTAAAGATGGTTTATACCGATTCCTTTAAAGGCTACGAGTTAAATTGTGGTTGGTTACAACATAGGCAATAAACATAGTGCAGAGGGGCCTCTGACCTGGGTCTCACCCTGCACTGACCGTGGCTCAGCCTGTTCTGCCTTCATGGAGCCCAGAACTCAGGAGTTGTGGAAATAGGCCCCTGAAACCCAAACACTCTCTTCAGCCACACTCAGGCTGCTGGAATTCCCCAAGCCACTGTCTGGGTCCATCTTTCCTCCCAAGAATGGATTATGTCCTCACCCTCTGCAGGTGGACGAGCATTGCCCTGGACACTGTGGACCGGAATTTCCCAGAGTGTTGTATGAGTCCCCTTGTGGTTCAAGGAGAAACTGGAATTGTGTGTGGGAGGGGGGAAATCAGGATGCTTAGCTCCTGATTGGAGTTATTTTTATCAGGAAAGTCTCCCAGAGGCTGTGAAAAACCAACGTCTGCAGCCCATGTCGAACTGTCTTACAGTTTTGGAAAACCAAAGCAAACAGGTTACAGGGAGGTGCTTCCTCTTGTTTATACATGATATGTAAGTCATGAGTCATGCAGTTACATAATCTTGGTGGCAAGTGCTTTAGGAATACACACAGACCCAGCAGAATGGCTGTGAAGGATAGCTAAGATTATCTTTAAAATTATCCT